GGCCCAGAAGGTTCACCTTGCTCCTCTGGCTATGTGCATGAAATTCAACTCCAGCTTAAGTATATACAGTGAATGTGCTTTATGCTTCACTGGACAATGTTCAGTTCAGAAGCAAAGAGTAAATCAAGGGGAGCCCCAACATTCCCTCTCTGCTGTATTGCATTCTCATTCCAGATGCAAACTCTGCAGATCAGATCATCTCAAAAGGCTAAGCTGTGCTGTGGCTATAAATTTACCCACCCAGAAGTCTGGATATTCTCTACTTCCTTCATCTTGGGTACATCAGACAGTAGAGGAGAGGACTCTGAACAAGCTAAATCCATACTTACTATGTCTGTTTATAGTAAAGCACCTAGAGGACCAGACAAAGAAATTCCATGAGAGCAGAACAAATGCATTACTGTTTTGCTTCTGACTAACGCCATTCTTACACACTCTAGTGGAAAGGATGCTGACAGTCCTGAGAGAAGAGCCAAGGCTTAAAATGGACCATGTAAAAGTCAACAAGTGGCTTTTCTACCTACTACACCAAAAATGAGGAAGCTAGTTAGAAGTTAAAAGGAGCCCTGAAGGAGATGAGGAACTTGCAAGCAACGTGGGAACTGCTTAACAACACTGTATTGAAGGCACAGGGCAAACGCATACTGCAAGTCAACGAAAATGGAAAGTGGATCAAAAAAAAAGCCATCATGGTTTAATGGCAGAGTTGCAGAGGCAATAAGCAGAAAAAAAAGTTTCTTTCAAAAAGTGAAAGTCAAATCCTAACGAAGAAAACAAAAAAAGAGCATTAAGACTGGCAAATTACATGTAAAACTGTAATAAGACAAACTAAGACAGAATTTGAGGAGAAACTTGCTTGAGGTATAAAAGATAACAATAAAACTTTCTTTAAGTACATTAAAAGCTGAAGACCTGCCATGGAATCAACTGGGCCCTCAATGATCAGGATGAAAGGGATGCTAAAAAACGACAGCACTGTTGCTGAGAAACTCAATGCATTCTTTGCACCTCTCTCCACTGTGGAAAATGTTAGGGAAATTCCGTCACCAGATCCAGTCCTCTCTAGGGACAAGTCAAAGGAGCTGACCCAAATTGAGGTTGCAGTAGATGAGGTTGTAGAGAAAATTGATAAACTAAACAGTAGCAAATCACCAGGACCTGATGGCATTCACCCTAGGGTCCTGAAAGAGCTCAGATCAGAAACTGCTGAACTCTTGACTGTAATATGCAACCTGTTACTAAAAAACAGCCTCAGTACAAGAGGACTGAAGGGTTGCCAATGTGACTCCCATATTTAAAAAAGGCTCTAGAAGGGATCCAGGGAACTACAGGCCAGTGAGTCTAACGTCTGATCCTAGAAAACTGGTAGAAACAATAATAAGAAAGGACTGTTCAGCATGTGGATGAATATGAATTGCTGGGGGGAAACAGCATGCTTTGTCAAAGGAAAATCATGCCTTACCAACCTAATGGAGGTCTTTGAGGGTGTCAATAAGCAGATGGATCAGAGTGATCCAGGTGATATAGTATATCTGTACTTCCAAAAAAGCTTTTGACAAGGTCTCCCATTAGAGACTCTGAACTAAATTAAGTAGTCATGGGATTACAGGGAATATCCCCTTGTGGATTAGAAACTGTCTCTAGGATAGAAAGCAAGAGTCAGCATAAATGACCAGTTTTTAGGATGAAAAGAATTAAAAAGCAGGGTCCCCCCAGGGATGTGTGTCAGGACAAGTGCTATTTGACATATTCATAAGTGATCTGGAAAAGGGGGTAACAGCGAGGTGGCCAAATTTGCACAAAATTATTCAAAGTGATAAAGAGCAAGGTGGACTGTGAGGAACTACAGAAGGATGTGGCACAATTGAGTGAATGGGCAACTAAATGGCTGATGAAATTCAATGCATACAAGTGAACGGTGATGCACCTGGGCAAAACTAACCCAAACTATCCCTATATTATGATGGTTCTACATTAGCTGTTACCACGCAAGAAAGATCTGGGAGTCATTCTGGACAGGTCACTAAAAACATCAGCTCAGTGTTCAGCAGCCATTAAAAAGGCAAACAAAATGTTAGGGATTATTAAGAAGGGATTTGTAAACAAAATGGAAAGTATCATTATGCCCCTTTATAAATCCATGGTACATCCCCACCTTGAATACCGTGCCCGTTCTGGTCCCCACACCTCAAAAAGTACATAGGAGAACTACTGAAGGTACAAAGAAGGGCAACGTGGATGATTAGCAGCATGGTGGGACTTCCATTTGAAGAGAGACTAAAGAGGCTAGGCCTATTCAGTTTAGAAAAGAGACGCTTGAGGAAGGACATGATAAAGGTTTATAAAATATTAAATGGCAAAGAGAAAGTAAATAAAGATTTATTATTTACTCTCTCTCACAAGGCAAGAACCAGGGGTCACAACATGAAACTAGTAGGCTGTAAGTGTAAAACTAACAAAAGGAAGTTCTCTCCCACACAGTGTGCAATTCAGGCGTGGAACTCATTGCCACCAGATACGGTGGAAGCTGGTAGTTTAGCCCAATTAAAAAAGGGACTGGACACATTTTTGGAGAAAAGGGGCATCAGTAACTGGGCATGAGAGTTAGGGGTACACCCTCTGAACTAGAACATCATAGACGTTAAGTGCTGGAGGCTGCAAGTGAGAGGAACAGTGGGGAAAAAACCTTGGTCATATCTAGTTCACTCTCCCTTTCAGCATCTGCTCTCTACCAATACGCAACACGGGGGACCGAGCAAGACTGACCTATGGTTTGACCCAGCAAATGGCAATTCTTATGTTCTTTTATGCTCTACAAAGTTCTGTCAGAAAAAAAAATCAGACTGCCTAAAAGAAACCTTTTTTGTCAGAAGCTGACACTTAATTTTTTTCTCCAATTTCAATTAAATATGAAAGATTAAAATTTGTTATTAAAAATCAAAATTAAATATAGGATTTTTCCTTCCTTTTTGCCAAATGCAAAAGAAGGTGCAGAATGTTGCATTTCCTTTGAGTCTCCATTTCCTTTAAGACTGGCATTTCCTTTGAGTCTCCTTTTTTTACTGCAACTTTTCTATCTTTTCCAACTCTGGAAAGGTAATAGAATAAGGAAAAAAACATAAAAGCAGAAGATAACATGGGAAAAAAAATTTCAGATTTCATTTTTCAAGATAACTGAATATTTTTAATGTAAAAAATAAAAGCTAAAAAATGAGCTTTTTGCTACCTTAATATTGTCCCATCAGGGGAAAAAATATACTTTGAATGAGAACATTTGTTCAAAAGTATTCAGGGAGGGTGGGAAATTGAGGTTTTAATCAACTTTACAAGGAGCCATGATACAAAGCTCAACTACTGGAAGCAAAAGTAAAAGGATAAAGATTACAACCCTGCTTATGTGCTCCCGAAAGCTGACAACATGATTCTCAAAGGCTTTTGATCCTTTCAGCTACATGCATTGAACACAATTCACCCTAAACTAAGAAATTTAGTAAAAGGCCAGTCCATAAGGGAGAAGTGTGCACGAACTAGAGGTGCACCAAAACACTGATCCATATCGTATCGGCACTGATAAAAGGAAAATTGACATTACTGGCAATCAGTCTTTTTTGGCTGATGTGGCTGATAATGTCGCCGATAAATGCTGCATGCATGCATGCAGCCACAGCATGCACACAGCCAGCCGGGGAACTTGGAGAGCAGTGTCCGGCTAATAAGTCTGTTGGGAAGGAAGGGGTGGAGGGAGGAAAGGGGTGTGTGGGGGGAAGATTGAGGCCCCTGTGGTGAGGGATGGAGTGGGGCTGGAGCAGGGGCAGGCAGTGCCCAGCTGGGGCGGGGCAAGAGATGGAGCTGCACGGCTCATCTAGGGGGCGCAGATTCCACTGCTATGTATACCCCTGGGGGAGCCACAGGGGGGTTGTGTCTCCCAGATCTGAGCGTGAGACAAAGATGGGCTGCTGCTGCAGGCTGGGTCTGTGCTGGGCTCTTCCCGGCAGGGGGGCTAGGCTGGGGCTGTGCTCAGGGCATGCGGCAGCATTGGGAAGGAAGCTGGGGCCCCCACATAGCCCCCCACTCCAGCACTGCTGCTGCCTGGCCCAAGCACAGCCCCCACCCCAGGAAGAGCCCGGCATTGCCCCCTCCCCCAGCCCGCAGCAGTGGCCTGCCCTCAACCCATGCACAGATGGGGGGTACATGCCCCCCATGGCTCCCCTGGCAGTGTGCATAGCGGCAGGATCCTCCCCCCCTCCCCGCAACAACCCACGCACATCCGTCCCACACGGCTCCATCCCATGTCCAGCTCTGCCCCAGCTGGGCAGCATCTGCTCCTGCCTCAGCCCCACTCCTTCCGTCACTGCAGGGGCCTCAGTCTGCCTCCCCCACAGCCCTTCCCCCCCCTGCCCCTTCCCCCCAACAGACTTACCAGCTGGATGCTGCTCTCCAAGCTGTCAGGCTGCATATTGGCAATTGGACTGGTATTGCCTGATATGGCTTGTTAATAATTGGCCATCAATATCAGCCCCAAAAAATCAGCCTAGCACAAACTTTATATTAGGTGCCACTGAGAAACCCCCTAATTTGAAGAATGGCAAAAGAAAATTTCTCTGCTGACAGCCCATGGCCTCCAACCACAGAGCATGTTGCATAAAACTGCGTAAACACAAGGCAGGTAAAGCCCGACAGATTAAACTCCCTCCAGCCCTTCCCAACAATATGGAAAGATTACTGATTTTAAAAGTCATCTTACCTCAGTGGGCCACAGTTCAGCACTATGAAGACAAGTATCACTGCCACACACACAGCTCTTTTCTTTGGAGAGTAATCTTTGAGCTTCTGGTTCTAAAACAGGAAGAGCAGATCAGGCACAGAGTAAGAACAAAGTTGAAAACATGTACACACATTTCTGAAGCCAAAAAACCCTGACCTCTACTTTTACATTAAAAGCTGACTTGCAGTAGGGAAAAGTGAGTTGCAGCCAAGCTAACATAAAAACAAATCTGGTCCTTTTTTTACACTGTGTTCAGGTCCCATATACTCCATTTTCCTGGTAAATTCTGTGGACTAGAGAAAAGGTAGATAAAGCTTCCTTGCGTCAATTCTGCAGTCTCCAGAATGCTTAAATGGTCTCCATTTTCATCATACTTAGGTATCTAACAGCCAAAGCATTTTTAATCCTTTCCACAAACTCAGCCTACCTCTAACACCACCTCATCCAACTGCCTCTTCAGTGAGCCATTCTCCCTCTTGAGCCGTTCATTTTCCACCAAAGCTGCCTTCAGCCTGGCCTCTAGCCCCAACATGTATTCCTTCTTCTTCTTCCGAGACTGACAGGCTGACTCCCGGTTTTTGATCATGCGTTGCTGTCTCCTTAAGACATTAAGCTAGATTGGGAACAATGAGTCCGAGTTAAATAGGGAACTCTTACCTGTGTGCAAGTTGTTATTACATCCCTAGTTTTTGCTGTCCTGGTTTGACAGAGACCAACAAAGCTCATCTATCAAAACATCCAAACACAGCTGTGTCCATCACCCTGGCAACTAGCATCCATTATCAGGACACATGTCTAACTGTCATTGAAACAATGGAAGAATAATATTCTAATTAATTCTCTTCTCTGTTCTGTGTTTGGCCCAATTTCCTTGGCACTACCTGGTTCTATAATCCTATATGTGGCAGGCACAACTGAGACACTCATGGAGCAACTAACTTTGATGGACCAATTTATGAGGGGAGAGAAAAATTTAACACAGGCCGCTTTTGCCTTTGGTGGTACTTTAAACAACGTATATTTAGGTTAGATATTAGGAAGAATATTCTCACTAGGAGGGTAGTAAAACACTGGAACAGGTTACCCAGAGAGGTTGTGGAGTCTCCATCCTTGGAGGTTTTTAAGACCAAGCTAGACAAAGCTTTAGCTGGGATGATCTAGGTGGGGATGGTCCTGCTTTGAGCAGGGGGTTGGACTAGGTGACCTCCTAAGGTCCTTCTAACCCTCATTTTCTATGATTCTATATAAGCAGCAGAGAGAAGGAATTGTTTGGGGCAACACAAGATGTGGAGAACTAAGAGTAACAAAATTAAATTAAAACACTAATGCAGGCTGAACACCAGGAAAATATTTAAATAGCAACATTAACTCGAAGGGGATAATTCCAGAGTTTATCTGAAAGTGGACTGAATAGGGTGCTAGTGAGTACATGATACAGATTGCAGTCAGCAAGCTGCACTGCTTTGCAGGGCTTATTTCTTCCTACTTCTCTTAAATAGAAAAGTATATATTGCAAAACCCATACATGCTTCACAGGATTAGGCTTCCTTATGAAGAGGAGAGCTTCTGAAGTAACTGGGAGTATACACCAAGACACAGTAAAAGGCTGTTTGGGGCCGCTGAGATGTTCCAGCTGTTTGCTCTGGCTTTTATTTCAAAGGGTGCTACTTCTCTAATCAGCCACATGGGACCACTAATGAGCTTCAGCTGAGTGGAAAAGCAGCACCCTTTAAAGTAAAAGGAAAAACAAAAGAAAGACACAGCAAACACCTGAGCAGCTTGTTTTTAATTCAGCAATCACTGAGAACAAAGTGGGTTGTAGATCAGGTGGATCTAGCTTCTAAAGCTTCCTGAAGCATGCTGATTTTTCATTTCCAAACTCTGAGGCTTGTGTCTTGTTTTCACTAAGGCCCCAAATTGCTGAAAGAGGAGGAAAAGGAACCAAACAAGATGTTAAAGACAATCAGGCATTTGGGAAGAGATGCAGGAAAAGACAGTCCTTTGAAAATGAATGTAGACAGAATTGTAAGAAGTATGGAATGGTCAAGAGCCTCAAAAGATCAAGGAGGATGAGAACGGAGGACTTCATGCTCTATTGGTGCCCCACAACCTTCTCTTTGACACCATACTCTGACATCACACACTGCTCCCACTAGAAATAAAAAGAATGGATACATTTCTATTGATCAATTTAAACACACTTATAAGATTTCCCACATACAATATAAATAGGGTCTAAGCTCTCCTGAAAGTATTCTTCAAAGGACAAGGACAATCATGGTACACACTAGCAGTTAAATGGAGAGAGCTTGACTATCCTGCCCTTAGCAACTTCTCAGATGATTTTCCTCTCCTGATAGCTTAGGAATAGGACCAGTGTTGTTGCTTTATTTTGTTTCATTAGTTCAACACATTTGAGTTTCTATCATAAGAACAAGCCACAACAGGGTGTGCTTTATCACGGTATTTGTATCTGCTTTTGGTGCATTGAGATGCATCTGACTGAAGGCTAAATTGTTTCTGCCTACCATAAATGTGTCCCTGTAGCCTACTGATGGGCACATTGGAATGACTTATCTTCAAACTATGACTTATTTGTAGTAGAGAAAGTAACTTAAAACAATTAGGGGTAGGGTATTTTGAAAACCAGTAGAGTTAAGACCAGTACCATTTATAAATATCATCAACCAGAAAGTTGGAATAGAGCTGCGGCAAGGGCAGAGTTAAGGTGTTTGTACTTATCCCAGATTGTTGCTTTGCAGAGTTTTTTCCTAGTCTCCTTAGCACCAACCATTATACAAACAACTTCTTGGTCATTGCTAAAGCTTTTCAAATGCTGTAAAACTCAATGCCACAAATGAAATAAGTATGGTTTGGGATAAGCAAGGGCTGCAACATATAAATACATGCTACAGTTTGGAATATGAGACCAGGTCAGCTATCCAAGGATCAGTCAGTTGCACTGGAGATACAGCATATGCCACATTCATACTGTAGCTTTAGTTTATGAGTTACGTAACAGTCAGCTGTGTTAAGTGTTTACTATTGTGGTTTTACTGTATTTTTAAAAGGTCTTGAATCCTGGAAGTGAAATGGATAACATAAATTTTGTCCCACCTGCTCCATCCTTCCCCCCTTAGTCTTTTAGCAATTGGGGCCGTAATGTAAACAAGACATAGGCCTCAGAGTTTGGGAGTGCAGGATTTGAAATGACAGTATTTGCTTTAGGTCAATTTAGACAGCTCCCTGTTTCTTTGGAAAAATGCTAATAAGCTAGAGTTGCGGATTTTCTAGGCATCTAACTCTTAAAGCGAGATCTTATTCCAGACTGTTTACTTCTCTGAAAACCCATTTGCATGTCTACATTCTTAAAACTGTCATCTTACCCTTATAAGCACCTAAAAATGGCAAAAAGAAGGACTCTTTTCCAAGAGCCTAATAGTTATGGCTCTTGTCCAGGAAGAAAACAGCAAGGAAGAGGGCCTTTGAGTTCATTAGCCTTCTGAGGTGGGCACTCCCATGGGAGGGAGAGACCAGAGGAGCCGTGGATTCCAGTCCCTGTTCCCAATGCTGTTTATGCATTTTGCATGAAACAGTCATTGTACACAACATGTAAAGAGCATTAGGGGTTGGAGCAGAAAGCAAGGCTCCCTCCCTTTCAGGTAAATGACCTCCTCACTGGGCTACAGACCCAGGCTCCATCATGCATTTGTCCTTCTGGCATGATGATTTCTGCATTCCTTTCTACTCAGGAGCTCAGCTTCAACAGGACAGATGACAACTCCAACTCACCCATAGCCTAGTGGCTAGTGTATTTTCCTGGGAAGAACCTGAGGAGGCAACTGCCCTAACCACTAGGCTACTAGGTAAAAGGTAGATCCTTCTGTAGGCAAACAGTCCCTGCCAGGCACTTTGGATCTTAAGCCGATAAGAGGCATATAAACATGCAAGCCAAGTCAGATGTCTGAAAGGTTGCTTTTCAAGCTCTGAAATACCTCTTAGGCTAGGAACAGACATTCGAAAAGCCTGAGCCTGAATTGATTCAATCTTTGCAGGTTAGTCTAACATGGCTAGGCTAAATCACTTTGCAACTGTCCAGGCATCCCAGAAATGCAGGCACATGCCTGCAGTGCGGCCCCCCCCTCGCTCCCAGGCGCGGGGGGGGGGGGGGGGGAGAGGGGGCAAGGCGCAGCAAGGAATTGATAACAGTGTTTATCACCCCATTAAAACAACAACAGAGGGACATTACCAGCTACCTGCTGATTCAGCAAGGACCATAGCCAGCATGTGGCCTGCTAGTTAATACACAAACACCTCTACGCAAGGTGGTGGTGATATGCAGTAAAGCAAGAGAAAATTGGGCTATAAGGGAAGAGTCCTGTCACAGGATGTAGGCAGACAAGGTTCCTTGGGTGAATCTGATATCTTTTATCTGACCAACCCAAATGGTTGGAGAATATTTATTAAGCAAGCTTTCGGGTTCAAAAACCCTTAGTCAGGCTAAGGAAGTTTCAGCAGTTGGTGTGTGCTCTTCCTGGATGGAATGAAAAGTAAAGAAGCCGGCATTTGTGCTGGTATGCATACAAGACAGGTAGTCAGTGAAAATGTAGATTGAGGAGTCAATGGGTGAGACACAGGCGGGGGGGGGGGG